TCTTCAGGGAGGTATATGGCAAACTATAGTCCCCTTTCTACATCTCATTTTCTTACAAGGCTGCTCTCAGACTTGTTGAATATTTTAAAAGAGCTATCAAACTGTCTCATACCAAAATTCACTCAGAAATTCCTGCCTTTTAAGAAAAGCAATCTTAGTCTTCGTTATTCAAATTCAGATCGCCATCATAACCCACAATGGAGACAACTGATACAGCTTTTCAGTTTTGCTTAACTTGGAAACACTTTATTAGCAATAATAAAAGTCTTTCAACAATCTGTTCCAAGGAATAGCACAGATAGGCTCTTCTTTACAAAGTAGCAGGCATTTCTTAAGTCTATAAATTGGTTAGATCACTCAACTGAAAAACTGTCAGCTATAAAATTCACACTAAAACTTTTTTTTTCTTGAAAACATATAACAGTTGTGTACTCAATGACTGAAAGGTACAGGAAAGCCTTTTAAAAAATGCATTTGTGTCTTGCTAGCTTTTCCCTATAGACTGATTATAGCAGGTGAAATACTTCCTCCTTCCTCCGTTTCAATTGGCTCTCTTTTTCAATAATTCACTCACCAGAAAGTTCAGACCTTTTAAAAATAAGGAATTCTAAAAATTAATCTTTTATTTTATACTAAGGCACAAAGGCCTATCCAAAAAAGTACATATAGATACATATCTATACATACACATGTACATGGGTATGTGTGTGCATATATATCTATATCTATCTATATAGATAGATAGATATAGATATCTGTGCACACACATATATATACTATCACATATACATATAAGCAGTTATACTTTAATACTCAACACATATGGGAAATGTATTGAGTTAATATTAAATTAAATGTTTCTTTTCTTTTCAAAAAAATCAAGTAGCTATGTCAGGAATCTCAAAGTTCAAATATCAAGTAATTTAAGTTTCCAAAATGTTCACTATAATTTAATAAGGTTTTCAGTAAGAAAAGGAGAGAAACCATCTGTCTTGTCCATACTAGCCTGAGTTACAAAAAAAAGTTATTTTAATTTGAAGGGAATATCATACATTAATTTTAGAGCCAAACTAAACCAACTTTACAATGTCTAATTCATTTGGTCCCTGATACGTCTAAGTGCTCATCTGATTTATTTTATATATTTATACACACAAACCTTTCCGAGTTCAATAAACATTTTGATGTGGCAATAATCTCTAGGAAGGAAACTTGCTACCAATCTTTGCCAGTCAATGTAGAACCTTAGCCTGTTGCAAGCAGACATTGGGATAAACTCCTGCCATTGGACATTTGAGTACTTAGCTCTTAGTTTGAGTTCTTAACATGCTGTTTGTTTTTTGTTTTTCTTTGTTTTTTTTGTTTGTTTGTTTTTTCCTATCCAATGATTGTATGACAATCATAGAGGATTCCTGGACAAAGAAATCTGAAAAAAGGCCAATGAGTTCCATTAATATTCCCATTACCAAAAAAAAAAAAAGTTAAAATAATTTGGATGTAAAGTTCAAAATACTGAGGAAGTTTTAGGCTAGTACGAAACTTATGCAAATTTTCAGAGCCTGCTATATAAGCAGATATGGTGAGCCAGTTTCTGGACTATATTTTTTCTTTCCATATTTTGATATATTTTATTTTGTTATATTTGGAATATAGCACTGTATTATAGCATCTATTTTGAAAATACCATTAGTATTTTAAATATTGTTATTAAGACTTCTTTTAAGTATGGGGATGTACAGGGTTTACAGCATTCCTAAGAGTAATTTTCTCAAAATCAGGGCCAACAATTTTTATAAAGGCTTTATATTCAATTCTATAATGAAAACCAACAAGAAAAATGATTCACAACAAAAATTTGCTGAAATGACTATTATGTCGTATACACTTTGTAAGTTAGGTATAACTAGATGTGTAACTATTTGTAAAAGATAGTAAGGGGACTGCTTTCCAACCACCGCTATGTTCCTATAACAAAACCTCCTGTGTTTTCCAGATTCACATTAAAATGAACAGCTAGTACTCACAGCAGAGTATTGCATAATTATAGGTGAACATACGATCCACTGGTCCAGATCACTTAATTAAGCAAAGGCATTTTTAAACTACAAAATTCGGAATCCCAGCTAGAACATTAATCCAAATTCCAGAGAAAACTGATAAACCTTTCATTTTTATCTTAAACAAGTACACCTAAAATGAACATGGTATTGTGGCTGAGTTTGTGTATCTAATAAAAGTCAACGACTTAATTTTCATGTATATATAGAATATATTTTCCAAAACCTAGGAGTTACGTGTGGCTCAGCATGTACACAATGACAGAAAAATCAATAGACTTTGATTCTGTTCTGTCAATTTCATCAAAGTCCCCTTGACTTTTTAAGTCTTGTGTATTCCTTTTGAGAACTTGATCAGTAAAACCTGGGGTTAAACCTCTTTTGTTAAGCAACCTGCCAGGTAGGCACTTCCATGCTCGACGCTCTTCTGTCTACCGGCGAGCTAGAGCTACTTCTCCAGAACAGCGAGCGACGCTTCTCTCAGCCCGCACGACAGCTGCAAGCACGGGTGAGGGAAGAGACGGCTGCAAGCACGGGTTAGAGGGGAGGTGCCTCCCCCAGGGTCAGTAAAGGTCGCGCCCCGGTGACTCCCGGGCGGCGCACCCCTCACCAGGCTCCCTCCAGGCTGGCGCTACGCCTATCCTGACGGGGTGGGGAGCATCCACGCTCTGTCGAACTATGCCCAGGGGGACGTCCCGGCTCTCGCTACGTCGCCCAGCGCAGCCCGTGGCCAAGTCACAGCGACCCCGCTTGCCCCGCACTCGAAGTGATACAGCTGGATAAGCCCTGCAACGCCTTCCTCGCAAGATCACCTCGCTGTGGGGCCAGGGAGGTGGCCCCGGCTCGTGACACGCCCACTGCCTCCGCCAGCCACCCCCCACTCCCCACCCCGAGCTGCGGTCCCCGCGGACCCGAGCCTCTAGCCCATCGCGGCGGCGGCGGCCGGCGGTCCGAGCGCGATGGTGCGCACGCGCGGCTCGGCGGCTTGGGAGGGCGGGGGCTCGGAGCCAGCTCCCCTCAGCCCCAGCCTCGTCCTCGTCCAGGTCCCGGGGCCGGCGGGGGATGGAGGGGGTGGGGGTGCGCCCGGGCCAAAGTGGAGCGGCAGCCGGGGCACGGAGAGAGTCGGGCGGGGGATTCGTGGGATAACGACCTAGTCTCCATTTTATTTTCTCCTAAGTTGACAGAGTGAGGAAGGAAGGGGGTGTGGGGGGGTTCGCCTGCAGGGCGGGGTTTCTTCTCCAGACCGTTAGGCTCGAGAATCGGGCGACAACCGTGGCAGCTCCCCGCCGCCGCCGCCACCCGCGCCGCAATAAAAATCCTCTCGTTGCTTCCCGCCCAGCCAGCTTCTTTCTGATTGGTCGCTAGGGGAGAGTGGCCGGGGGGTGGGGGGTGGGGTTCGCGGGGGATATGGGGGGGGGGAGGCGTGCCTTGGCTCTCGCTTACCCTGGGGAAGGGGCTCGTGTTGGATCTTCCCCCAGACCGGGCTCCTCCCTTTGCACTCGGGTAGCATTTCCACCCCTGCTCTGAAAGCCCCCCGAAAGCAGATCTAACCGCAGCAACTGAGCCGACAGGAGCGCCTCTGCTTTTTGCCCTGGCCTCCTTCAGCTTCCCTACCCCACCCACCCCCTGAAACTTGCAGCAGCCCTTTCTGCAGGCAGCCCCGCGTTCTCCACGACCACCCCCTCCACCCCGATCTTCTGTCAACAAACGCGCGGGGAGGGGGAGTACTGGGTGGGTGGGGGGGAACCCAAAGCTTCCTCCAAGGAGACTGGGTTGGAAATAAACCAAAATGAACCTCCCACCTCCACTCCGCCAGGACTCACTCGGCGGCACGTTAACACACATGTAACATCACTTCGGTCTTCTTGCTCCTTCTCTATTGTTTCCACTTTGTAATGATGGGGAACCTCGCCCAAAGCAAAGAAGATAGGGGGCGAGGTGTTCCATACGAATACCTGCAATTATTTTCTCTTGCACCAAACAATATTAACATCAACGTGCAGAGAAGGGGGAAAAACAGACCTGGCAGCCCCCAGCTCACGCCCTCTTTGCCCTCCGCCCCTCTCTGCACTTCCTCCTGTCAAATCACAGCGCCTATATCATTCCATCCCTTTTGGTTTTCAGGGCACCGCGAGCAGGATTTCCAACTAACCAGCAATTTGGCAAATGAAAAACTCACGTCATACCGATGGGGGGGGGGGGAGAGAAATACAACATCCACACAACCCCTCTTTTCTTCTCATTTAGCTCCAATTTTGCAAACCGTTATTCTGACCATTGGGGGAAGGGAGGAACAAGAAAGCAAGAGGGTTCACTTTATTAGATATGAGGAAAATCATAGAAATGGGGGAAAGTGGTGGAGAAAAGGTCCCCAAGGCCTCATTGTTCGCTCTTCAAGAAGCTGGTGCTGATGGTTTAGATCCGTCCGATCATCTGGGAAAGGCTGTGCTTTCCCCGGTTCATGTATGTTCGGCACCACCCCAAGCCCAGCGCTCCCCTCTCGCCAGTTCTCACAAGCCCCCTCCACCGAACCCTCTGCCTTCGCGGAGAAGGAAGGAAAGAGAGAGAAAGGGGGAGGGGGTGTAAATGCACAAGTGTAGCCCTCTGCCCATCACCACCAGTAGCCGAGCAAGGCTTCCCAGGAACCGTCAGCCCTGCTCCGACTGCAGCCGAGTACAACAAAGTGAAGACTGCAAAGGGAGGGGAAGCCCGGCTTTCACTACGTGGGGAGACAGCTCATCAATGGAAAACCCATCTGTATCCCAGAAGGGTGGGAAGGGAGGACGACAAGGCTCTTTTTGTATTTTTTGGGGGCGAAGGGGGCTTTTATTTAATTTCAAGCTTTAGCATTGAGCGCAAAACCGCCTAAAATAATAGTTTTCGCGGGAGGAAGGAATGGGGGAAAGGAAGCAACTAGCAAATCAGATTTAAAAAAAGATGTACCTGCAGTTCCCAGGAAAAACAAAGTCCAGATGAGATCCTTAGTTTGCAGCATTGTAATCTGCTGGTTGGGAAGGATGTTCTTGCAAAGGTAATTTTTTTGTGTTCCCCCCTTGCAATGAGTCTGGACGGCGACAGAGCAGAAGTCCTACAGGCAGACAATTGCCAGTCTTGGTATTATTATTTTTGCAGAATTGTTTCCTGCCAGCCGCTGCCGAGCTGCGTTCACGCGCTGATCAGAGAATGAGTGACAGTCCTAGCCGTAGCACACTCGGAACTCAGGGATCCTTGCGCTTCCCCGGTTTTGCTTTGATGGAAATGAGGATGGGAAAGAGGGGCGGGGGGCGGTGGGTGAGAACCTCACTGTGTCCTTCCACCACACCAGCTACAAATAGTGCCGAACATCAAGGAGGTAAGAGAGACAGGAGAGGCAGATGCAGCCGACTGCAAAACACGGCCTGGATTTTCCAGAAGAGTTGGAATCTTTCACACGCTGTCTCCAGTGCAGTGCTGGGATTTCTCCTTTTTCACACTTCTCCCCCGCCCTCCTTCACTATGTCTCCGCTGCCTATCCCTCTTTACCGGTGGGTTTGGTTACTTTAATAAACTAAAAGCGATGTGACATTGTAAGAAAGGCACCACAGAGGACTAATAATACCTCTCATTTGTATAGAGATTCAGTTTCAAAGCACTTTTCACATACATTAGGTCATTTGATCCTCACCATACGAGAGGCACCCTGAAGCAGAACTCACCCCCACCCCAGCCAAAAAAAAGTGCAGGAATGAGGATTCCTGTGTTTTGTCGTTGTTTAGTTTTGTCTTTTCATGAATGTGAAGTTGGTTCTCCCACAGAGAAGTAATACTACAGCAAGCAAACAGATCTCAGGGGATGAAGGTGGGAAGCATTTAAGTAGATGAAAAAGCAGATGTTTAGCAAGACTTTCGGGGAATCACTGGAAGAAAATAGGGATTTTTTTTGTATGTAAATGCTTAAGACTATGATCTCTAGTTATTAAGAAACCAAGCATTGTTTTTCAAAGGAAAAATCTTGTTTTACAGCAGGTTCATATGGTGACCAAGAAGATCAAATATGTTTTCAGATTAGACACTCAAAATATTTGAGGAAAATAACTTGGAAAATATATGGAATTCCAGTCACTGAGATATTAGCTTAGCTCTTCTAGCTGTCTCAGAAAAGAAGTATGGGGAGAATAACTATTTCTGGGAGTTAGAGCATAATGAAGCCTTGTCCCCACAGGATTTTACAGCACAAATATTTGGAGGAAACAATTCTAAGATATTTCAGATGTTACACTAAGATGTTCAAGGAGGTTGACAGTCAAACCATTCTTCCTGTAAAGAGGCTTGCGATGTTTGGCAACACAGAAAACACAATTCTCTTTCTTTAAAGGTTACAACTACCGTGTATGCTCTCTTTCCTCCTTCAGAATAGGCCCTGTACTAAGGAATCCAATTTCTAGTCATGTAATAGACTAACAAGATCAATTTTATGCAATTCAACAAACATTTATTAAGCCCCTACTCTGTGCAAAGCACTGCTGGGGAGACAAAAAGCAAAGGAAAATAGTCCTTGCCCTTGAAGAGCTTATATTCTTTGATATAGATTTTATACTACTAGGTCCCTATTATTTAGAATCTGTTTTCTCTTCTGTTCTCAAGAAAACAAAGGGATAACCTTTTGGACAGGCAGAGGATCCCTGACCTATCTGGACAATCTACAAAGAACTCTCTACCCACATTGAACCAACACATAGCACAGAACACTGGGTATGGAGTCAAAAGACCCTGTTTGGAATCCTGCTTCTGATACTTATTTTTCTATGGAGCCTGGGCAAATCTTTTCTCTTTTCTTGCCTTCAGTATCCTTATTACTGTAAGAGAAGTCAGAGAAAGAGATAAGGCTGTAATGTATCATATGGGGAAATGTTATAGTGTTTCTAAGACTCCTATAACCTTCAAAGTAGCAAGTATTTGTGTAAAATTCTGTAACTAACATGAAGTTGATGTGCTGCACGGAAGAGGGGCTCTTCTGGTGAGATTAAAAGTTTCCTTACCATATTGTCTGTCAATCCCTTGTCTATTTTGAAGAAGTAAAACCCTGGGGAGATATAACTCAGCTAGGGGTATTGTATGTCCTAAAACTGGTTTCTGACCATTTAGGTGATAGCTGAACTGAGAGACTCGGGCTAGGGCAGGTCAGTTCAGAAAAGAACAGGGGTGTGCTGGAACCAGCTCTAACAGGCTAACAGTGAGAGTTCATTGTTAAATTTTCAATGCAAAGACACCTCAGAAATCAGTCTTCTACTAATAGAGGTTCGGTTTATTGTTCTATTGATTGTCTAGATTTAAGAAAGTATTAATTCAGATTAAAGTTAAAAGTGTATGTGCATACATCCCTCCTTCCATCCCCCATAGACTAGTTGTTAAACATTTGTCACCATACTCCTGTATTGTTCTGCAAACATTGCTTCAGCTCGTCAGGAGTTTCGGTACTCCCTGGTGCAGCCTGGTTGAGGAAAAGAAAGCTTCATACAACTCTCATCATCATAACTAGCATTTATATAGCACCTACTATGTGCCAGGCACTTGCTAAATGCTTTTTTATTATCTCATTTCATCTCATTTGGTTGAGAGAAACCTATAGAGTGCTTCAGAGGTATTGACTCAGAATGCTAATTGAGGATAGCTAGGCTTTTGACTGAAAGAGCTGAAGCAAGATCTATTCAGAACTATTCACTAAGAATGCTGGCAGAGAAGTGCTCTGCTAGGGAAAGAATTCCTGAACACAACACCTACAGTAGATGAAAGACTGAATTGTAAGTGGCTGTGAAGATAACACTGCATCTGAGGACTACAGATAAGACACATAAAGGGGCTAAAGGAGCAGGCTGATAGAAGGAATTGAAATAAGCATAGCCTTACCTCTGCAGCAGAAGAGAGGCTTATTAACCACAGCACACCCTTCTCTTCTCTTCCCACCCTCCTACCAGTGATGAAGGTTGGTAAAAGAATTGGTGAAAGGGCTGCAAATGCAGAATCCCTATTGGATTAGGTGACTCTGAAAATTATAAAAAAATAATGACTAGCTGGAACGGAGATCAGCAGTGCCTGGCATGGAAGCAAAAGAGAGCATCACCTGGCAGAGAACACCAGAGACTAATGTGTGCTAGGGAATAACAGAGAACATCTCAGTGACTTCAGTAGAAGACATGGTCAGCTTTGCAATGGTTGAGGCATGAGCTGTCCCTCCATAAGTTTACCCTAGCTATGTGTGTTTCCTGGCTACGTGTGCTCTCATGTGTGGCTATGCCATATAATTCCTAGAAAGGTCCAGTCTTCCTACCACTAAGTGTCAAAAGAGCTCAAGATTTATGAGAAGAATGTTATATTACTTTATTTAATTCAAATGCCTTTGTAATGAACTGAATGTATCATCTAGCTGACTGGTAAAAAGTAAAATAGCAGCTGGAACTCATGAGCTATGGAAAGAAGAGAACTCTGAAGTGCAAAATACCTAGGATCTAGAGTAACTAACTAATGACCCAAAGCAAAAGGTACAGAGTGGATTGCAAAAGCTATATTGCTATAAAATAAAGAGGTTGGACACGGTGCTCTCTAAAGTCCCTTCTACGTTTAAATCCTGTGATTAGATGATCCCACTTCATGCTCAACATCATCTAAATGCTGTGAGGAATGCAGAAATGATAACAAATTAGTCAGGGGATTTCTGACTTTATACTACTTTTCTATTCAAAATACAGATACCTTTGGGAAGGGTAATATCAAATCTTACAATTCCAAATGATGATAGCACTGGAGCCTGAGCAAAGAAGATTAGAAAGAGAAACTGAGGACCCCCAGTACAAACTTTTCCCATTTCAAAATTTTGCCTAGGACAAACACACACCCTTTCCAAAAAAAAAAATTACTTTTTTAGTGCTTGTCAATGGAATTAAATTCCTTACTATCTTTTTCTCCAAATGTCCCTATTTATAGCTTTTCAATGTAGGCAGGTGTGGAAATCCTATCTCACTGCAGCATGACTGACATTCTTTTTTTCTCCCTTCAGCTCCTCCCTGTCCTATGTAACTGTTGATCCCTGTTGTAATGACTCATTCTAGAAATCTGCCCCACACAGCTATTCCAGTGTATACTCCCTGTCTCTTCTCCTTGCTATTTTAATAGGATTCATCATTTATCTCCAATTCTCAACCTCCCCACTTAGCAATGCCTGCATCTGTTAGTTTCGAGTTCCAGTCATTTCCTGCTTCTGTCTTGTAGATTGCACAAAACTAAAGCTTTCCTCACCCTTCTTCCCACATGGTATATATCCTATAAAAGAAATTAAATAAGTGCTCTTTTTTTACCTTAATTTCGTGAAGAGAAATTCAGACTGGGAAAGTGGATAAATGATGATTAGACTACAAACTTCTTAAGTACAGGGCTCTTTGTTTAATTCATCTTTGTATCTCCTCCAGTTCCTTATATAGAACTGATACTTGACAAATATCTGAAGAATAAATGAATAAAAGAAAAATTTCACCTCTTTTACTTGACAGGAATGGCTGAGTTGTCAACCTTGCTACACCTCACCCTCATGGGAAAATTCAGCCCATCCATGCAAAGCAAAATCAGCCTAAGATATAATGTCCATCATATTGAATATTTCCCCTTTATGATTTTATTTCTGTTAACATCACCCCCTAAGAAAAGGAATCCTATTGTACTGTGGACATCTTCCTTCCTCAGAAGCCCCTAGGGGACTTTATAGACACCCCAATCACTCATACACAGTCAGATTTAGAAATCCATTTTTATATATGCATCTGCTGAGGCATAAGAAAGTAAAGCAAAGTCAAGGTCAGATGATAAGTTGATGTGGAGTGTCATCCAAGAGGTTCTGTCAGAACTAACAAGGAAGGGATAGTGTCTGAGTAGTACTAGACTGAGACTGAGGCAGCTTGAAGCCAAGATCTAAACCTAGTTTGATTAACTTACTATGATGTACTTAAATAATTAAACAAAAATATTACCTAACAGTCTAATCCAGAGGTTCTTAACCTGAGGTCTGTGAACTTTTTCTTTATATATTTAGAAAACTGTATTTCTTTTAATTGGTTTTCTTTGTAATTCTATGTATTTAATTTTATGCATTTAAAAATGTTATTCTGAGAAGGGGTCCATAACACACAAAAAGCTTAAGACCTGAACTCATCTTTCCAGAATACATCAGGGTCTATAATTTTAGAAAACAGACATAGTCAAGATCTAAAACCACAAAGTATGATCTCACTAAGCCAACACAAAGGACAATATAACATCTTACTATCTTTCTCATGTATCACTGCTCCTCTCTACCTTTAACCTGGTCCTCCA